CCCTGGGCAGGTGATGGTGGTCTGCAGGCTATGCCACCTTGAAGGCATGGCTGCGTGTCTTGCTTCAGCCAGTGACCTAAGTGGAAGTGAAGTATGGCACTTCCAGCAGGAAGCTTTAGGAGCCAGCATGTGATTGGCCATGTCTTGTTTCCTGCCCTAGTGATCATGGGGACACGTGCCCACGAGGTGCTTCTATTATCCTGGACCTAAGAGTGACTTGTATGTGACAACATGTGTCCCGCTGTAGATGTGTGGAATGAGCAAGAATGAAAAAATTGCTGCTCTTTGTTGCAGCTTAACCTAATCCGCCTTGACTAGTAGAGCTCTGAATTTTGGGATTCTGAGTAAAGATGATGGTCTCGAGGACAGAAGCCACAATATTTGGAAGAAAGTCAGGGGTGGAGGAAGGGCAGATGGGCCAGTGGATCCATTAGAAAATAAGCTCCATGAGGACAAAGATTTTTGTATATTTGATTGACAGTTGTGTCCCCACTGCCATTAAGTGTTGAATAAATGAATGAATGATGTAAGGCGAGGCAGGCAATGCAGAAGCAAGAGGTTTGAAAAACAACAGCGCATGGTTCTGGCTGGGCCCCTCATTCATTCATTCACTCATTCATTCATAAACTCTACAAATATCGAACACTAACCACAGAAGGTCTCCATATTCCCTCAGTAATTGGGCCAGCAAAATATCACACCGAGTGATCACCCAAGAAATGGTGAATTAAAAAAAGCTTTCAATTGAGATTTTATTTTGAAAAATGAGACTAAAAATATGAAAACAGAATCTTACATTGGACCAAAATAAGATTATGAGTCAACCCATTTGCTAACACTTCCAATGAACAAAAAACAAATCAGGTATTAATTGGGTTGGGGGAGGTGGATAATTGTTTTGAACAAAATATGTGCCAGCACAACATGACCTTTATCATTTTGTATTTCACTGTCACAGCATCAGGACTCCTTGCTGCCAGTTTTGTCGTCTCTTGTTATCTGACCTGCCTCTGCCAGGTTCTCATTTATCCATGTCCTTTTGTGGGGTTAGAAAAGTCCTCCAATGTCTCCTTTGATTGGCTTCATTAAATCCTACAACTCCCACAGGATTTTGGCTTCACTGTGCAATCCTTTGCATCGTATGGTCAGCTGCTGACCCCACCCAACAACTGAAGCGAACCTGATGGACATGGGTGTCCAGGGCTGGGCAGGGACAGATGCTGCCATTGAACTGATGCTCACATAGGGACCACTTTGTAGGTAGTCAGTTCATTAACCTTCTTCTAGTGTAGTGGCTTTTAAAGAAACCTACAGCCTTCATCTGCGGGATGTCAGGTAATGATGGCCCAGACCTCTTCATGGGGTCTGAACAAGGAACAGGGGATATACAGTGAAACAGGCAGACCTGTGCCCTGCCCTCCAGCCACTCTGTCCCAGGGCCCCGTTCCAGGCTGTGCTGGGAGCATCAGCTTCCCAGCTGCCCATCCTGACTGTGTCCTTCGCTGCCTCCAGAGTGGCACTCAGGAACCACTTAGTGTCCTGACCCCAGCAGTTTGACTTCAAGTGTGGTTATAGGAAGAGAGAGAAGAGCTTTGTACTGAGACCCCCCGGAACTCATCTCAGGAACACTCACAGCGCACCATCTAGCAAAGGGTTTGCAAACTGGGGGCTGGATCCCTCCAGATCCCAGTGGGGATTCAAGAGGACTCAGGAAATGTCAGCTCCTCAGGCTGGCCAGCTTGTCTCCCCGAGGACCTGGTCTGATCACAGTGTTCCCCTGCCCCAGGGCTGCCAATGGCTTTAACTGAAGCCCACCTCCTTCAGGCCAAATTCAGCCTCCCTGACGATCACCCCTCACCCGTCCACCTGCGCAGCCTGATCTTACATCACTCCTCTGTTCTTACTAAGTGCTCCTGACAAAGCAGAGTATATGCTCCTCTCAGGACCCCCGGGAGCCCCCAGCTCTGTGCCCTTGCCTGTGCTCTCCCTTCAACCCGCAGTGCCACTGTCCCATCCATGTGTTTCTGAACTTCCGTTTCCTCCTGGGCCCTTTCAAGTCCCACCTCCTTCCTGAAGCTTTTCCTGATCCCTTTATCTGGATGTGATGGCTCTCTGCTCTGCACCCCTAGGATGCAGCCTCACCCAGACTGTCCTGCTACAACAACCCCATCCCTGAGTATTCCCAATATCTCTCCTGCGGGGATGGCCCAGAGGTCCTTCTCATCTCAGCTTCTTTCCTGGCACCTGGCACATAGCATGTGCTCAGTTTGTTCGATGAACTTACCAACAGCTCTCACTTCATTTCCGGTGGAAGGGCTCTGCTATCTGCTATGTGACCTTAAATTTAGCCCTTCGAGCTCTCCAAGACTCAGTTTCATTGTCTGCAAATGTGGAATAAATGAAACACCAGGGATGAGGTACCTGGCAAGGGGACAACATGAGGCAGGAGGCAGGGTGACACTGGGTGCTGGTCCCCTCCCCCTATGTGTCCCTCTCTGCCTCTTTGCAGGCTCATCCCTCAGGGCCGGAACTCAAGTAAAGCAAGTGACCAGACACTGGAGGCCCAACCTCCTCAAGGTCCAATCTCAGACCTTCTCTGCTCTGTTCTGAAGTGGCTGACCCCTGTTCTGCTCCAGCGCCTAAGCAGGTGACACAAACGTCTGTGCCCAGCGGGCCCGCCTTTGTGTCTCGGGCTCACATACCCCCCTTGGCATTCTCCTCTTGGCCCCCCAGAGATCTCAAATCCAAGTGCTCTTCTCAAGGGGACTGTTCTACATAACAGAGTGACTGAAAAACGTCAGCACCCCTACCTGCGACAGCAAGCTTCTCGAGGACAGAGACCCAGTGCCTAGCACAGAGCCTGGCGTAAAGTGGGCAGCCAGGGGCTGAATGATTTTCGCTCCTTTCCCTCTTTCCACCCTAGCTTGTCTGTGCATTCAAACTGACCAACTTATGCCCATTGACCAAGACCTCCTGTCCCTCCTCCTGTCCCTCCCAACACTGTCCTTCCCCCTCCAGCCGCCCATGAAACCTTCCCTGCTCCCGTGTCTGTCCCTATATCCACATCCCTCCATTGCTGCCTTCAAGGCCCCACTCTAACATCACCTCTGCCAGGAAGCCTTCTTAGCCCCACATTGAACACCACTGATCCCAAGCTCCTATCCCAGATGGTTTCATGGGTCAGCTGTGCTGCTGGGTGAGACCCCCCGAGTGCAGGCCAGGGAGAAGCCCCAAGAGGGTCTTCATGTGGGAACCTCCATTGGTTACATTCTCTTAACAGAGTTACTAGGATGACAGGATTTTGGTGCCCTTGGTGACCTGGAGCCATATTTTGTCCACTGAGCCTACTGGGCTGTTTCCAATACCCCCGGGAAATGTGTCAACTTGTTTATAGCGACCCTCTGCTTGGCATTGCCCAAGCTCTCTTCCCAGTTTGACTGGACTGGGCATGCCCGTGAGACTAAGAAAAACCTATGTCAGCTTAGCTATTGGATACCCAGGTCATGAAGTTGCAGATAATCAGCCAGGAGATGCTAGAAGAGGCCCCCTCACCCCACAAACAAGACAACTTGAACTTGAGCAGGACCCCAAGGCCCTGGAGGGTCCTGGAGGAACAGCTGACCTGGGGCCCCTGGGTGCCCCTTCCACTGTCCCTGCTTCCCCAGGGCTGTCCCTTTCCCCTGTGAAGCTGGCCTACAGAACCATAATGGTGTCATTTATCTGGAGGCAGAGGCCAGCCAGCCCATGCAGGACCGAGTATAGTGAGGGAGTCCAGGAATGACAGAAATACTTCGTCCCTCTGTCAGGACAACTTGACCACTAGCCCACTCTCCCAGGTAGCAAACCTATGGCCAATGGCCGGAGTCCCTTCTGAGAGTTTTACCTGGCTTGGGTTTGGGGCTGGTCCTCACACTATTTTCTGTGAGGCCAGAGGCCCTGAGTTATCTAGGTCTGGGAGGATGCTCAGAGCCCCAGCCACCCCCAGGCCAGGAGCCTTGGCCTGTCCCATGCCAGAGAAGGAGTGAGGTCTGCAGGCCACTGATGAGGGCACAGTGCCCACCTCACCTTGGACCCTGGGTCTCCATCTGGGTGGGGCTGGATTGGAAATAGCACTGTCCTTGAGAGAGAAGTTAGCCAAGGTGGGTGACGGAGGGTACTGAACGGAGCTACCACAGCAGGCCTTGGAGATTCTGCCCAGCCACTAGGGTCGAGTTCAATCCACAGTGGTCTGCACATGACACATTTGAGTTCATACACACACACACACACACACACACACATGCATGAATGCCCCAAACTCTTAAATTCCTGCACACCAGCAGACAGAGGGCATCCCACACATGTACCCCTAAACATGTACGCACATTGACACGTGCACCACTGTCTCCCTTACCAACTCATGTAGGGACACACATGCCCCGCACACACATGCCCCATACACTTCTCAAGCATGCATCCCACAGACACCACATGCACACATGCTCAGCTGCACCCCCAGGCCAGCTAATCACGGGAGCTCCCCTGCCATCCACCCTCCACCCTGAGCAGGAGGGCTGGGGTTCATCCAGTGCCCTTTGCCCCTCTGCCCAGTTACCATGACCTGACTGGGTTCAGACGGGGGAACCCAGGAAGCAGGTTCTTATGCCAGTAGAGGAGGCAAGGAAGGAGTCCTCACCTCCTCTTAAGTCTTCTTCAAAAAGAGAAAGAAGGAAAGGGGAGTAGGAACAGAGACAGGAAGGTGCCTGTTGCTCTCAGAGGGGAAGCTGGAAAGGGACCGTCTGGCTCCCACCCCACCAAGCATCATCTGCTGCAGCCCGGAGCTGGCGGTGCAGAGGGAGCGAGGGAGGGAACTGTTGGGGCTGCAGAAGATGTTATGACAGGACCTCCAGCGGGCTTGACGTGTTAGCAGACGCCACTGCCGCTCACGGAGCCAAGTCCCCTGCTGTCGCCCGCCTCTCACCAGCCCAAGGACCCCTTCTGCATCCCAGAGCCCCACTTACCTGGCAAGAGCCTGGGACCAGGGGCTCTGAGAAGGGCAAGAGCCCAGCCAGCTGCTTTGGGGACAGTCACACGCTGGGCATGAGCAGAGCAGTCAGGGGTGGACAGCCCGCAGAGCTGCCGGCTGCCCCAGGGCCCTGGAGGACAGACAAGAGATGACGGGACGAGATGGTGGAAACAGGTGGCAGGGGGGGAGATGGAGAGTGGGAGGAGGAGGGAGGCAGAGGCAGAGAGGGGCACAGGGAGAGGGAGACGCAGAGAGAATCATACACGGGGAAAAGACAGACACAGACACACACACACAGAGTGCTCCGTACAGAGGGAGAGAGAGGGGAAGGAGGGGAAGGAGGGAGAGGGGTGGACGGGGCAGCAACATGTGGCAGCCCTCTCACTTCTCATGCTGGAACAGCGAGTCCCGTCCTCCGCTGACCCCCCTCCCCGCTGGAGCAAGCACACCATGCACACACCCCAGGAACACACGCACACTCACACACATACCCGCTGACACACAGAGGCACACAAATCCATCATTTACATGCACAGTCCACATGCACACACTCAGGACAGCCCCTCATCCTCACACGAGCTGGACCAGCCCCTACCTTGCCCCAGAAACAACAGGTGTCCGGGCAAACCCTCCCTCTGTCCACAGTCCCAGCGGCTGCCTCCCTGCATCCAGAGGTGCTGGGTGGGGCACCCAGAGCTGGGCTCCACTGTCCAAGCCCAGTGCCCACTGCCCTGGCAGCCAGCTTGATCAGTGGCCACATTGTGATGGCTGTTGAGGTGGCCTGCAGGAAGCAGAGCCATTTGTTTTGCCAGAGTGTAACCATGACAATCCCCCCCTGCACACACCGCTGGTGCTGCGCCCCCCTCACCCCTTCCCTCCCTCCTTCTTCAGAGCACAGGAGAAAAGCCACAGGCCACGTTGCAGCCTCTGCTAATTCCTGCTGGGGCTGACCAAAAGGCCTTGGCCAGAGATAAAGGGCTGTGGGTGGGAAGCCCCTCCCTGAGGAACGGGGCTGCCTCCTGGCTGTTCAGCACTGGGCAGGGCCTGCCAGGAACTTGGGCCCTCTCTCGTGGGGACCAGAGCTGAGTTGGCCCCCTCTACCTCTCCTTGCCCCCCGCCAAGTGATACAAGCGTCAGTCTTTCTCCCCTGAGACCACGATGGAGCCAAACAAGGGCTCAGGTTATCATGGCCATGGGCAGGCTATCTGCCGAGACCTTTGGCCTTTCCTGTCTAGTCTTAGAGTCCAAAGCCAGCAGCCCTTGCCTGTGGTCATGCCAAAGCCACAGAGGATTTTCTAGGCTTTTAGGTGCAATGCCAGGAAGCATGAGATGAGAGGTCTGGATACCCCAGAGAGCCAGGGGCGCATCATGATCAAGGACAAGTATATTTGGAAGCCAAGAGGTCTGCCAGGTACAGTGAAACCTAAATTTGGAGTCCAGAGTTAATGGCTCCAAAGCTGAGAGGGTAGATGCCTCAGAAGTACACGATAGAGCTACTGCTCACACACCTAGAAGCTCATTTAGTCTCCATCAAAACCCCCCAAAGAGGGGTTTCCTCCCAATTTTATAAAGGAACTGCAGTTCAGAGAGGTACAGTGACTTGCTCAAGGCCACACAGTAGGAGGTGACAGCAGGGATTCAAACATACACCTGTCAGATTCAGACTCCTGGAACTTTCCATGATATTCACTGGCCTTTTCAAGCTTATCACTGGGTACCAGGTGCTGCACACAAGGCCCAAAAGAGGTGCATGCTCACCAAACACTGAGAGGTGCTCCTCACTTCAAAAACCAAGCTCAGAGAGGTGAAGTAACTTGCCCAAGGCCACACAGCAAGTAGAAGCACCAAAATTTTAGTTCAGGTCTGTCTGAATCCATCTCTCCACCCTGCCTCTTTCACCACACATCAGGCTAGATCCAGAAACAATGACTGTCCCTTTTCTGGACTCTCTGCCTAAGGAAGGTGGAGTCTGAGGGTGGGATGGGGACAGTGGATGGATACAGTGGGGTAAAGAAGGTATGAAGGAAGCAGAGATGTCACATGGGATACAAGACACCTGCCGGGGTAGCAGATGACACAGGATCTTAGAAGTCTGAGAACTGATGATTCCACATTAGGGGGGGGTCACATCTTAAGCCTCCCCAGAGCTTTACATTCCCCTAGACCTTCATTAAATATCTACCTGAAACCCTGGGTCTTTCCTGTTGTTGCAGGTGTCAGCCAGCCAAGAAGGAAGCCCCAGCAAGTGAATTTTGGAGAACAGTTTGGAGGGAGGGATTTTAGGGGAACTGCTGGGCAGAGGGACTAGAGGGGCGGAGAGAAGGGGGAACCACCCTGTCGGCAAACGAACTTCTTGGACTTGGTTACCGTTTTGCCAGGATTGCCTCTAAATACTGCCGGGGTGTGCGAGAGTAACAAAGGCAGAAAGTGGTGGTCTAGGGACTGGAAGGCTGCCTTGGTCGTAATGAAGGTCGCCAAGATACACGGCAAAATTCACTGCGGTTCAGTCCTTATGGTCCCACGCAGCGAGCCAGGCGTCGGTCCCTCGCTTGGAGAAGATGATGGGGAGCAAGTCACATATTCCAGGAAGCTGGCTAAGTGGGGAGACGCACAAGGGTTCCCAATCAGCTTTTGTTCTACCTGACAGTCCCCCAAAGCCTTTGCATATACACTGTTTTGTTTAATTCAACCCTCATGATCACCTAGTGAGGAGGCAGAGCCCCCTTCTCTGCTGGAGGCGGACGACTGAAGCTGAGAAGCCACCGGTACCGGAGAGGCCTTGAGGCTCTGAGCCACTTTTCACTCAGAGAGTCCTGGTTCCCTTCAGGCAGGACCCCCAAAGGGCCTGGCCACTTAGAACTCCAAGCCTCCCCTCAAGGCTCCCAAAGCCCCATTCTCAGCCCCCATGAAGTTCACGGTCTGGTCACCCATTCAGATTCCACATTTGCCAGTCAGGCCTTACACTCAGCCATCCCAACCCTGCAGTTTGCATTTCAGGACGAAAATTTTTTGGAAAGAAAGGACAGCCTGACTGAGTAACTGTAAGCCATGAAGAAGAAATGAGAGGTGGTAGAGACAGAGGTTCGGAGACATAAGCTGGGCCGGCAGAGAAGGCTGCCAGCCTGGAGGTATTTTCCAGAGCTGCCTCTGCTTGCAGCCATCAAGACTTCCTTACCCATTGTGTTGGTTTCCCAGGGCTGCTGTGACACATGACCACGAACTGGGTGGCTTGAACAGACATTTATTCTCATATAGTTTGGGAGGTTAGATGTCCACATCAAGGTGTCCTCAGGGTCCTGCTCCCTCTGAAGGCTCTAGGGAAGAATCTTCCTTCCTTTTGTGGCTTCTGGTGGCTGACAATCCTCGGCAGTCCTAAGCTCATAGCTGCCTCCCTCCCGTCTCTGCTGGTTTCCCATAGCCATCTTACCTGCGTGCCTCTCTATTGCGGTATCTCTGTCTCCAGATTTCCCTCTCCTTTCTCTGATACAAACCCCGGGCTCCAATTAGGCCCACTCTAATCCACTATGACCCCATCTTAATTTGATCGCATCTGCAAAGACCCTATTCCAAAGAAGGTCACATACAAGGGGTCTGGACTTGAACATATGTTTTAAGGGGACACAACTCAACTTACAAAAGCCATTTGAAGGAAATAAAGGACATGAAACAGGCATGCCTCCAAGAGGCCAGTCCTCTGGACTTCTAGAAATTTGGAGAGGTAAGCAAATGGCCCCATAATATGGCAGCTAAACGTGGACTCTGGAAGTGGACTGCCTGGGCTCAGGCCCTAACTCTGTCATTCCCTGGCTGTGTGCCCTTGGGGAAACCGCTGAACCTCTCTGTGCTTCAATTGCCCCTCTATAAAATGGGAATGATTTGAAGTTTTATGCTAGTTAATATTTGCAAAGCACAAAAATAACATGACACTTAACAAGCATCACATGAGTGTTTGTTAAAATAAATATGAAACACCCCTTAGAACAATGTCCCTATTTTATAGGTGTGAAAACTGAGGTCCAGAAAGGGGAAAGGACATCCCCCAGCCTGGGTACTGTCCACTTCTGCTTCCTTCCTCCCAGGCTTGCCCTCAGGGGAGATTAGATCTCCTTCCCCAGATTGGCGGTCTAGAGGGGCAGCAAGAGAGGGGGAAGTGCATACAGAGGGGAGGGGGGGACCCCAGTGAGGGCGGAAGCGGCAGGTTCCTCCCACACCCAAGCACACACCCCTTTTCCCACCCATCCCTCTGTTTGCAGGACTGGAAGCAATTATGCGACTGTTCCTGCCCGCGTGGAGGAAAACAGTCTTGGGAATGTGTAATCAACACACACAGCCTGAGCGAGAAGGGAAAGCTCATCTACCAGTGGCACAGGCTGGGGGCCCCGGGTGGGGCAGGCAGGGAGATGAGGGAAGGCCTGGGTGGGGTATGGGGCTAGCTTTTTTGTTTTTAAGCATTCATAGCCCAGAACACCCTGAGCAGGCGAAGGGTTGCCAGGATGCTCAGGCATTGCATCCGAGAGGACCCCTCCCTCAGGCTTCATCCCTGAAGGGGCTGGACCCCACTGTGCGTGTCTGTAGGGTACAGAAGGGAGCAGATCCAGGTTTGGGAGGCAGTGGGCTGACATGTGCCATATTCTTGGCAGCAAACTCATGAACTCCCTTCCTCTCCTTTCCCTTCCCTTTCCAGCCCCTCATCTCATGCACAAAGTTACAGGTATTGCCCCAGTTTGTCACTCCTCCCTGTATCCATGTACTTTAAAAAGGTGGAATATAGCTCCTGCCCTTCACCTTGGGTTCAGCCCCGTTACTTAACCAATGAGATGTTGGCAGTTATGATGTCACCAAAGGCTTGGAAAATGCTCGCTTGATTGGGCTTGTGCTCCGTACCTCTGCCCTTGTTGCCAGGAGAAGAGCAAGCCCAGATTGGCTCACTGGTGCCAGGAGGAAAATGAAGAATACGCAGAGCAGGATCGAACTGCCCTAATCAAGCCCAGCTGACATCACCTGACTCTTAGCTGATCTCAAAGAAACGATTGTTATTTTAAGTCACTGGTTTGGAGCGGCTTGTTCTGCAGCACGTTCTGGCAAGCCACCCCTGTTGACCGCACCTTCACAGTGTCTCTCGAGTATACCCTTCCTCTCCATCCGCCTGCCTCAGGTCCAGCCTCCTAACAGCTTTCTTCCTGTGCTCCCTGGCTCGAGCCTCACCTATTCCAATCCACGCTGCAGCCAGACCTTTGTGATACCTGTTGACGGCTGTCCCCACCTATTATGCGCGTTCTCAATCCAGCCTAAAACTCTTCAGTG